AAACTGTCGAAACTCTGCCAATTGATTTCTGGAGGAGTTTCGCCCACAGCCTTAGGTAGGGCCAGAACCAACATAATTAAAATCACTAGAAAGGCTAGTGGCTTACCTTTTGTACGTGAATCACATTGATTAACCAAACTCGGACTGCACGCTCACACTACCTAATCGTGTATCTTTCCACAAAGTAATCTGAAACTGCATATTTTAAAATTTTTTGTTAATATGCAATAGATATTTTTGTATTTATAATACTATCTCTCTTGGAAATTTTGAGATTCGCAAAATTGGTTGCATTGTATATTTTCATTATCAGTTATTATCCATAAACATTCCCCAAATTTTATAAAACGTTCAAAGGTTGTATCTATAATTATAATAAAAAATTATTATTTAATTAAATCAAACCTTTTCAAAATGTGAAGAAACATTTTCCCACCACTAAGCAATTTGGAATCAATCCATTATTATTAAAGGAATCAACTAATCTTTTTTTGAAAATGTAAAAAAGATTCTTTCCTGCTACTTATCGTTAATATTAAACAGCTATGCATTTTTTGAAAATGTGAAGAAAACACTTTCCCACCACCAAAAAAAGGTGATAACAATTCGGGATTAATTTATTATTATTTTTAATATTAAACAGCCGTTCCTTTTTCAAAATATTTCCCCGCCGCTACAACAATTTGAAACTGGTTCATTGTTATTAAAGAAATCAACCGTGCCTTTTCAAAAATGTAAGAAGATACTTTTTGTCATGCTAAAATTAATTCGGTTGTTTATCATTTGACAAGTTTTTGAATAGTGTTAAAGCCACATATTAAACGCGTAAACCTTCACTTAAAATGTAAAAAAAGAAATAAATGATATTTATAATAATAATTGTAATAATAATAAAATATGTCCACCGAGGGAACGATCAGTGGAAGAAAGAAGCATTTTTTTTTTTTTTTTGAAATTTATAGTAAGAAAGCATCAAAAAATCAATTTCTTCTTCAGAATGCATTTGCTCTGGCTGTTCATAAAACTCAAGGATTAACCCTGCCTGCCACGTGTAACATTGAACGTTGTAATGAGTCCGAGCTTCCTCACTAAAAAATTAATTTTGATTATTCTCAATTAAAATTTCTAGGGCAGTTTTGTAAGAGTATAAGATTAGAGATATAAGTATTGATAGGTTGTAAAAGCATTTTGTATTGAAAAACTTAAAGCAAAAAATTCCATATATTAATATATTAATACTTTTGCAATAATCACAAACTCCTATTGATTAGCACTTATATGTAAAGCGCATTTTCGATTAGTTATTTACAAAATAATAATAACATCCAAGTAATTGTATGCAAAATGAAAAAAAAAACGCAGTTTCTGCCTTGGTCATATACTTTTACCAGAAGCAAGGAAAAATAAATAGTAACTTTCACTCCACTAAGGAAAATTCATTTACATAAATAAACCTATATATGTGTAATAGGAAAAAAACATAGTTACTACTTTGGCCATCTAGATAACTTCAATATACATGGAGTTTTATTTGGGACAAAAAAAAATTTTTTTAATACTACTACTTGAGAGATAATATACAATTTAAATTGAATATTCACGAGGTTCATTAGAGACGAAGACTCTTTATAATGTAATTTTCTACTTTATTTGTATATTATTAAATTATTTTTTATGTTACAAATTTAAAGAAAGACTTTACATGTAGGTGGTAAACGTTTATTTTTATCAATTAGAACATTGACATCTTATTCATTATAAATATATTCATTTATCTAATATAATTGTTTTTTAGTTAATAGACAATGTTTATTTACTTATTCGGCATATGGTAAATATATTATTTATTACCTTGTCATTATCATATATAATTCATCAAACATAACATTTATAATTTTAAACATAATTATCTCGAATAGAAGCAATACATTAAAGCAGTAATAGTATGAAAATGAAATGTTTAATAATAATGGGCATATAAAGAATTAATATTAATATTATTCGTTGATACCATCTCGAGCTTTATATTAATGACTTTATGAACTTTAAACCAAAAAAAAATTTCATTTATAATAGTTTAATAAAATGACTAAAAATAGAGAATTATCTGTTGTTGAACATGCAGATGTAAGTAAGACAGAAATAATAAAGGATTCGGGATACCATTGAAGATATACATTATCTCCCTAATAAAAAAAAGAAAAAAATTTGACATGGAAATTTTTAAAAACCTACATATTAGCACATTATGAGATTTTTAGATATGATAATTTAATTTCATCTGATTCTTGAGAAAAAAAATTTATATGATGGATAGTTTTTTTTCAATAAATCTTGGTCATTTTTTAATATTTCAAAAATGATCGGTTTGTTTTTTAATTATTATTTATTATTGTTGTTGTTGTTGTTTGGGCTGCAATTAATTAATTTGGGGTGACGGATTTTCATGTTTTATAAATAAATTATTATGATTGATAAAACATCTCAAATAGCGTTCCTTTCGCTTTCCAACCCAACCCAACTTCAATGCATTATAACCTCACATTAGTAGTTATCAACGTTACATACAAGTTTTAGAAGTGTCCATGCATACTACATTTATTAGATTTTTTTTTCTTTATGTTCTTTTTTAAAGATCAATTGGATTATCAACTAACATGTTGGGTGGTGTAAACGTTTGCATAACAACGGTTACACACACTATTAACGCAAAAAACGATATTAATATAATAATAATGATTATTATGTTCTGAGAAATACTTCCATATTCTCTAGAAGGAAATTGATTGTTTGTATAATAATAATAATTGCTAATTTTTAGGAATCAATTCTTCAAACACCGAAATAAAATTACATTGTTTCTACCAGTGTGATACTAGCATGGTGGAAGTTTGATTTTATTGGATATAAAATGTGACAAAATAAAATTTAGGTTTTTACCAAAATTAGAAAAGTTTAAGGAAAATCAAGATTTATATGGAACGTGTAACGTTGATCACAGCGAACAAAAAATTTAATGTGTATATATAATATATATAATATACACACACGAGAGCTTATTCCTATATTACCACTACCACTACCACTGTCATCTCATTCTTGTTCTACTGCTATTGTTACTGTTACTGCTAGAGATGGGCAAATAGCGTATAGTTGAACACTATACGACACTATACGTATAGTGCGTATAGTACGTATAGTAGTTTTGAAATTTGATTGGATGATTTTCAAAATGTAACAAACCAAATTATATATATACTGTATATATCATATATATCACGTATTAATCATTGATAAATAAACTATTGTTTAAATTATTTGGCTATTACAATAAACATGAACATTGTAGCAATTAAATCTTTATTTAATTTATTCAGCTTACACTTTTATATTAAAAGGTTTGATTTATATATTTAATTGAATCATTAATTATAATCATAAAAATCAAAACTGTTTTCAGATAATTCTGATTCCTCACTCAAATTGTCAGTTTCTTCAATAAAATTTTCATGTGTTTCATCAGCTTCTTCAATGGCACTTTCATCAATTTCTTCAATAATGTTTTCTTCCTTATCACTTTCGTTTTCAATATAATATTGATTTACATTATTTTTTACACCTAATTCATCAATGCATTTTTTTTTCTATTATCTGCAGGTGTTTGTAGCTTATAATTGCTATATATATAAACTAATTTGAAAACAGTTTGATTACTTAATCGGTTTCTTTTTTTGTCATGAATATGTGCAAATGCTGACCAGTTACGTTCAGATGCAGCAGATGATGTTGGTATGGTTAAAATACGTTGTGCAACCTGTGTTAATTCAGGTGCTGATTCTGCAAAGTTTGCAACCCACCAAGTAATAGGATCAACGCTTTCTATGGTGTTCCATGCTAGAACATTGCTAAAACAACCTGTTTTTGCTCTATAACTCATAATCTGACTATAAATAATAATTGAATCTTCAGGAAAATATTTATTAATAAATTCGGAAATTTCATTCATTCCATCACCTGGTAATCTTCTTCCAAAATATCTTGGATCTAATAAATGAGCAACTAACATAACCGGATTATACATTTTTTCCCACCTTTCATCAATTAACACATTGATATCTTCTTTCATGAGTGAATTTTTTATTACTAATGAACAAATTAAGAATTAATTTAAAGATTTAAATTTAAAATTTATAAACTAAATTTTAAAAAAATACCTTCAGAATTTTCCAATGATTCATACAATTCATAAAATTGTGAAAGCTTTGGCACATCACTTTCAAAAATTATAATACCTTGTACTATTTCATCAAGTATATTCAAAAGTTCTGTAGTTTGTTCCCAAAAATCTTCACTTTGAATAATATTTTTAATCATTTCATCAATAAATATATCTGAGCCTCTTAGAATTTCAGTTAATGATAATTTAATAGCCAATTGATTTATTTTTAATGAGGACAAACAAGTTGCTACAGACCCCCACCTAGTTTTAACAGGAAGTTTTAATGTGCAATAATTTGTCCCATAAGTTGCTCGTTGATATTTTTTTAGGATTGCATTTGGAATAATGTGGTTTTTAAAATATTTAACAATAGATTTTGCACTAATAATTATATTTTTAGCCCATTCTAATTTTGAAACATTGCTTGCTAACAAATTTAATCCATGTGCTAAACAACCCATAAATAAAATTTTTGGATATTTTTCAGCAAGTATCTTCCATGTTAATTTCATTACTGCAGCATTGTCAGTTATAACTGCTGATAATTTTTTTTCATCAAGAGTAATTAATATTTCATCAATATTTGCAGCAATATTGTTAGCATTTTGTTTAGTTTCCCCAGTAAACTTGGCTGAAATAAATACTGGAGTTGGAGTAGTTAAAATAAAGTTAGTCCAATGTTCTTGGACAATACTCATCCTAAAATAATAAAATAAATTAGATTTAAATTTTGGTAATGACAATATTATGGAATGATATTAAAAATTTGAAAATTAATTTATTACCATCCATCACAAATAAGACAAATAAACTTAGCATCATTAATAAATTTTTCTACATGTTTTTTTGTATCTTGATACACTTCATCAAGTAATGTAGTAGAAATTTTTTTTCTTGATGGTAATTTTAATGCTGGTCTTGTTTTTTTAATCCAATTTTTTAATGGTTCCATTTCAGAAAGAGACAATGGCAATCCACACTGAAAAATTAATTTAGCAAATGATTTTTCGTTTTCTATTTGTTCAATGGATGATATTCTGTCAACAAAACTGTTTATGGTTCTTCGGTTGTTGGATGAACTTGGTGCAACATTTGGATCTGAAGTGATTGTTGCATTTGATGTAATAAATGTAGCATTATTAGAAGTTATGTTTTCATTTATTTGTATACTAGTATTTGAAGTATCAAAATGTTCTCCAAAATAATTTTTTTTAGTTTGAATTGTGGCATTTGGACAAATGCGTAAATGGTTTTCACATCTAGATACTGAACTAGCACATTGATATTTTGGGTTTTTGCAATATAGACATTCAACGCGTGATTGCTTATAACCATTAACACTACCAATATGTTTAAAATGTTGCCAAATTGCACTTTGACGAGTCATTATAAATGTAAAGAATTTATTTGTGAAGAATTACTTTGGTCAAGAGTATGGAAAAAAACCAAAGAAAGCATCAAAAATACTATTATTGGAGAGATGGAGAGGAGTTGCGGGAGATTTAAAAATTATCCAAATATTTTTTTAGTAAATCATCAATCCTAATATTAGCAAAATAATTCCTCCGGTTAAAGACAAATTAAACACTTTACTACAAACAAATACTTTAAATAGAAGTTATTCTTTATTTATAATACAAGAAAATACAGATAATCTCATCTATCTGAATATTACTAAACATAATTAGTGAAAATACTTAAAATATAAAATTAATTTGTTCGCCATTAATGTTTAATTATTTTCTTTATTCATATATTGTATTCGTGATGAAATGTAAATTGTTACAATAAGTTTAAAATATATATATCGTGAGAAAGTAATGCATTATTATGCAAGCATTTTAATTTACTATTAAATATTAAATAAACTTTAATTTACTATTAAGCATTAAATAAACTTTAATTTTCAATTAATTTTTATGTGCAACATTACATCTATTATTTGGAGATAACCTAAACAGGAATTGATTTACATTTACTACTATATAGTTCTAGAACTATACGCACTATACGTATAGTATTGATCTGCCCATCTCTAGTTACTGCTAGTGCTACTACTGCTTTTAATGTGCCATTATTACATCTGATGCCACTACATTAGAGAAAGTTAAATCT